TTGGAGGACAAGTGGCTGGAGGAATGCTCTGAAGATGGGGCAGACGGACGGGAGGATGAAGGCGATGAAGGGGGAGGGTCGGATGAAATCCCAGCGGCGGAGACAGGAGAATATGTGGCTTTGCAGACACTACAAGAGTTGAGAGGCCTCATGACTCTTGGCGTGCAGACGATGCCGTACCTTGCTTTTCATGCTAGGGTCACTCTGCTTGTTATGCTGTTGACAATCAGCACACAGGAGTTGGTTTTGTGTGGGGTGTACGCAACTCCCGAGGTGGAGGCGGAGCGGCAGAAGACTGTGGATTTCATTGTGGAGAAGGGATGGGAGGCTTTACGACGAGTCTACAATACTCGCAATGCTTATCACACTCAAGAGAAGGGGCGAAGAATGTTAATTCTCTTGGAGCAATGTAGGACTCCTCGACCAGAGTCAAACCCTTCGGAGCTGGCTGTGGAGGCAAGCATCTGCTTGTATAGAATTTCGCAGTGTTACGAGGCTCTAGGGCAGCTGCAACCTTGGGTAGGAAGGTCCCTTCCGATACCAGAACAGGTAAGCAAGCAAGCCTTCAATGCGTTTTCGTATGCACAAAACGCTGGAAAATGCAGGCTCAAAGGAGACGTGGCTGCGAGCTCCTGGGTGGAAGAGATACAAACACAAACTGGTTGTATGGACCTTGTCGAACCCAGTTACAGACTTGGGCGTTTAACGTACCGGTTGCCATTTAGTGAAGAGATGAAAAAGAATAAGCAACGATTCGGAAGGGCCGCAAGAGGGCTTCGTCGCAGCATCGAACTGGCTTTGAGCAATGAGCCGCTGGAACAGCGCATGCAAGTGCAGCGCCACGACGTGGAGCTACGGCAACAGCAGGGCCGAAAACCGCTACGCCAGCAACAGCATCCTTTCGCCGGCGAGGTGCCCGAGACCATTGCTGGACCTAGCTCCATCATCCGACCTGTGGGGCAACCGGCCACTCCGGGAACCGGTGTAGCCATAATGACTTCGCGCCCTTCTCAGCCCCCTCCTGCCCCTTGGGAGGGAACTGCGCCAGCAGGAGCGGCCTCTTCGCTGAGGGCGCCGTTACTGCAGCACGTTCAGCCTCCACACAGCGAGCCGCAGCAGCGTATTCCCACCGCTCATCCAGGGCACGCGGGTCAGCCCCCTCACCTCTCTGCTCCAAGTTGGGGCAAGATGCAAAAAGAGACGAAGGACGAACAGCAAGCCTCGTTCGAGTATGTCGCAGCAAAGTCTGGTCTTCGAGCAGATGCACCTCCCTTCATACCGAGAGGCTCAACACACACGGGCGCGCAGCGGCACACACCGCGTACCGCATCTGGTACAGGGGATGGTTGGCGTCTCGTCCCACCACCTCCTGGCTTTGCATCCTCGTGGCGACCCGTTGGTCCATCTGCCACTGGGCAGAGCACTGGGCAGAGCGGTTTTCCATTGGCTCATCCGCCACGTATGCCAACTCAGAGCGAGATTGAGCACGTGAAAACGATGGCGCCAATGGACTGGTCTCCACCTGACGGCAGTGCGTCTCCTCTACGTCTTCGCGCGCCCCCCCAACCAATGCGCGGGCCTTCTGTCGCCGACCCATATCAACCTACTGAAGGAGCGTCGCTCCAATTCCCCAGGCGTACCGTTCAGCGTCGCACTTCCCATTTTCCAGGGCGCGCTCTTCCACCTCCGCAACAAATACCTGGGGGTTGGCGACACACACGTTCCTTAGAGTCTGAAAGTCCTGCACCGCTTTGGCAACCTTTGGAGAGGGGCACCCAAGGAGCCATTTCTGCGGAGATGTCCCTC